TAAAAATGCATTTTACTATCCAATCTTTTCATTTTCCAGGATTTCCTATTTTAACACTAGTTAAAAAGCAGATTAGATAGCATTTTTATGAAATGAAGTCATACTGTCCTTTCTCCAGGAGCCCTGACATATGTTATAGTCTCAGTACTTCCACTTCTCTAATTTCCAAGGTCAAATCTTTTGGTGTTGTCCTGAACATACACAGCAGTTTTTTGTAATGTAGAGGATTCTCTCCTTAAGGCTGGCTTTGTCAAAATTGTTTGTGCTTTCAATGTTTTGTCTGTATGTATACATGTATGTGCCTGTGCAGACTTGGGACTTAGATCTCTCATGTGTTTGCTCGAGCTTTTCACTCAAAGCCACTACTTGAGCCGTAACAATAGTCTAGCTTTTTTTGTTGTTGTTGTTGTTTGTTTTGGTTAACTGGGCTAAGTCTTGTGGACTTTTTCTGCCTGGGCTGGCTTTGAATCTTGAGATCTCAGCCTTAAGAGTTGTTAGAATAGGGATGAACCACTAGTACCCAGATGCTTTTCTTTTCTTCTAAACAGGAGTTTAATATCTTTGCACAATACCTTTTCAGTATTTAATCTAGAATGAGTAGTTGGAAGAGGCTGACAAACTTCAGGGACTGGCACTCTGGCAACAAGCCCTAGACCCCTACTACACATCTGTCCTAGGTCCCAGCCCCTTCCCTTGTCAAATGATGCTCTAATTAATAGAAGCACTTATGTGTCACACTATTCCCGAGTACTCTCATCCTCCACTAAGCATATATGAAGTAACATATTTTAATTCCCAAATTTATGCTTTTATGTTTTTTCCTACAGATGATTCTGTTTTAGTGATGCCATAAATGTAAACCTTATGCTTCCTGGATACGTTAAAGTCAATGCCCTACCAAAGCCATTTTAAAGACATTTTGATTGTTTAGTCAGCAGTGACAAAGGTTTAGACTATACATTCAAAGAAATGACTAAGAGGCTGTTTTTCTATACATGCCTGTAAAACAAATAACCAAAAACAGATATAGTTCCTTTAGATAGATAAAAATCTTTCTATTACCAGATTTAACAGAGGTTTGCCTGTGTTACTGTTTTTCCAAGACTTTTCTTATTTTTCAAAATGTAGAAATAAAATGGCTGAATAATCTGTTTCTGACAGTCAATCAGACTTTGGCTAGAAAATGATAGCTATATGTGTATCTGAAGGATCTCATTTTAGAAAAGAGAAATAATTGCTAGTTACTAGCAATTGTCACTTTCAGTTAAATCAACTGTTATCACCTCTGGGGGAATTAAAGATTCTATACCCAAAGCAAACCTACTAAGTCATTTCAGTTTTCGAAAGAAACAACAATATGACAGTAAGAACAGTTTAAGACACAAAATAATAAAAGCATTACCACTCAAAAGCCAATTATGGCCATCTAAAAACTAAGTATAGATAAAACAAAGTTTCTCTATATGAACCTTACTAAAAAAGGTGACAATTCCAATTTTTTACCTCTAAATAATCGATTAACAAGTCTAGCAATAAGACAAAATTAGAAGTCTCTTGGCAGTTGATGTGATTTTTATTATACATCAGACATATGAACCAGACATTAGAATGATTATCTGAACTCCTAAAAAAAATAGGAAATTTCCATCTCCTCCTGGCATTTTCAGATTTTAGGATTAGTTTGAGGCAAAGAATTGGAGATAGTGTATAAATAACAATTATGAAGGTAGTTTCCAGAAGCAAGTAGTGACTTTGGTTATTAAGGCTGTGTGCATTGTCCAAAAAGCTGATATTTGTCAGCTATATTTTGGCATGTGTATTCTTACTAAATGGACACCAAAAAAGGAAAGAGTGGTTTGTGAGATTATTCCAATCTTGTTTCTTGGGACCAATACCTTTTCTAGGCTTCTACAAAAGCACAAACCTTTGCTTATTGTAGATATTTTTCTGTGCACTAGGAAATGTATAGTGCAATCACCTCGTTTTATTCAGGTGTATACTCTTGGCAAGGACAGAAGCTGTTGAAGAGTTCTTGAAAATTATGGTCCTATAGGCTAATATTCTCCATCCTATGAACAAACTACTTAGGTGTGTCTTTGTAGGCTATACTTTTTTTGTATTCCTGGTCCAAAATTAAAGTGGCCATGAAAACATTCAACCCTGTCAAGTCAATAGTGTTTTACTTCTTGAAGACCTTCGTGTTAGGCGGGAGGAAAAACATACTCAATGTCAATTTTGAGGTAATAGATAGGAACAAGAGAAATACAAAACCCTCTAGCATCGCACCTGTTTATTTTGGCCTATGTTTCAATATTTTGAAAGTGGCACAAGCAGCTGCCCTTCACATACCACTGTGATTTTGCATAGTGCTGTCTCTCTCTTTTTTTTTTTGTCGGTCGTAGAGCTTGAACTCTGGGCCTGGGTGCTGTCCCTCAGCTCTTCAGCTCAAGGCAAGCGCTCTACTGCATGAGCCACAGCGCAACTTCCGGTAGCGCTCTACTACTTGAGCCACAGCGCAACTTCCAGTTTTGTAGTGGTTTATTGGAGATAAAGAGTCTCACAGACTTTCCTGCCCAAGCTGGCTTTGAACTGTGATCCTCAGATCTCAGCCTCCTGAGAGCTAGAATTACAGGCCTGAGCCATCAGTGCCCGGCTTGCATAGTGCTCTCATTTAGCTTATCCATTGCTCTTGTAGAAGGAAGTTCAAATCCTCACTGAATTGGCATTCTTCTTTGTTTTCTTCTAGAATCTTTTGACTATATCAATAATCACATATAATTTACACACATGAATTAGCCTACTATCATAACTATAGGGATGTCTATTTTCAATGGTAATTAAACACATGCATTCTATAAATGCTTCTTGAAATACATTTATTTACAAGTGTTAGGTTTTATTTTTGAATTCTAAAATTGGAAAAGTTAATACATTTACACATCTATTTTGTCAAGTAAAGGTAGATGTATCATCTTATTACCAAGATGAAAGAATTTGTAGCTGGGCGCTGGTGGCTTACGCCTGTAAGCCTTGCTACTGGGGAGGCTGAGATCTCAGGATCATGGTTCAAAGCCAGCCTGGGAAGGAAAATCCTTGAGACTCTTATTTCCAATAAACCACCAGAAAACTGCAAGTGGTATCGTGGCTCAAATGTTAGAGAGCCATCCTTGAGCTGAAGAGCTGAAGGCAGTGCCCAGTCCCAGAGTTCAAGCCCCACAACCGACAAAAAAGAAAAAAAAAGAATTTATTATGGATTACTACTATTCCCAGCAGGAAAAAGTCTGAATTAGAACAATTAAAGCCTTTAGGATTATGCCTGTCACAGACTAGGTATTAACAAAACATTGGGCTTGAATCTGAATTTTAATCCATAGGGAATTTTACAGATTCTGTGGCCTTTTCATATTTCTGCCTGGTCAAACATGCGCAACCAGGAACCAAATATCAGCACAAAACAAATTCCAACAGACATGGAACTGAAAGATTCTAGAGTAAAAAATGGAGGATAGAGAACATTTGAACTAAACAAACATGTAGACTATTGATGGGTAATCTGATCTTTAATTTTCCTTGAAATCCATTACTTCCCACCCACAAAGTACATAACTAAATATTCTGTGGGCTTAAGCCCACCTATACTCAGCCAGGTACCAGTGGCTCATACCAATAATTCTAACTACTCACAAAATTGAGATTTGAAGATTATGGTTCAAAACCAGAGTAGACAGGAAGGTTTGGGACTCTTATCTCCAATTAACCACCAAAAGCGCTAGAAGTCAAATTGTAGCTCAACTTTGAGAAAAAAAGCTTAGGGATAGTGTCTAAGCCCCAGGGTGCTTTTTCTCTCTTGCCCCCTACACAGACACACAGACACACACACTCTCACTCTCTCTTAGCCTTTCTCTCAGCTTTCAAAGTACTAGTATTTATAGTCAGTGTGATTGGATTTGGAAATAAGCTGCCTTCTCACTGCCCAGCATCTACACATAGTAAAATGCTACCATAGTTTTCAATTTATTTCTTCCTCTTCTTTCTACCTACCTCCACTGAAATGTCAAATTCAATGTCTTAAAATAGACTTCACATTTTTCTCTTTTCTATATTAGATATATGTTTGTATTAACAACAAAGTTGGAAAAGCTTCTACATTCAAAAGTCCTATTAGCAGCAGAAATGGACAACAGATGGCTACCCAGAAATCAGAGTCCAAAAGGTGAAGTACTCTGCATGACCATGCTAATACGAATTCTATTTTGGAATACCCTAAAAACCCTTGACCTAATGTAAAATCTAAGAGGCAGTTCAGAGACGAACAGTGACCATAACCTCATTCTCTGTCCAAAGCAAAATATAATCATTTAACTACCCACAGACATGAAAAAATACAAATACTTCAATAGCCTACCGCAGCTCATTTGTAAAAAAATAAAATCAGCACAAAATGGGCTTTCTTGATGCTTCCCTATAATTAATTAAAAGTAGTTTAACATGGTCTTTAAAAATCGGTTGCTTAGCTGGGCCTGGTGTTACATGCCTGTAACGCTAACACTGCTCAGTCTGAGGCAGAAGGGCTGCCAGTTCAAGGTCTATTAGGAGACACAGTAAAAATCTGTCTCAAAAAAAAAAAGTTTTTGTAGAAATAGCTACTAATGACTGGTTAATTACTAAATACTACCTATAATGAGTAATTTTTAGTTAAGATTTAAATTGCTCCTAGCTTTAAAATAACTGAGTTTCAGTTGAACTTTCAGAAATACTAATCCTACTTATAACTGCCCAATTAATATATATTACCAGTATTTCTCTTGGGTAGATTAAAGTTGCTGAGTCATCTTTCAACAGTAAAGACATTTATACTATAACATACAGATTAAGTAGACCTGAGAGCTGTTTATCACAGATTTATCATCACAGAAGAGATTCCAGTTCATGTTGACAGAAAGTACATAAACTAGATTTAAAGTGCTATATTAAAAATAAATAAAAAGTAAAAATTCATGGCATTTTTTGATAATATAATTAAGCATTTGATTTTAAGAGTTGACACTAAAAATGATAAAAAAAAAACCACATATAGTATTATTATTCTCCAATTGTATTTTACTCTTTTCATTTTATGAAGTTTGTCTTTTTCACAGAATGACTGGTCACAGTTGTGCTTAAGACATCTATACTTGACCATAGACCTTAGAGGATACTATACCCACTGATTTTTTAAACTTTTTTTTATGTTAAATATGAACATCTTCTTGGTACTTCTTTAAATCACATCTCATTTATCTTCTTAAGAACTGCACATGCTCATTTTAAATACTTTTAACACCTGTAATCAACCACAGAAGTTGATAGAAGTAGAGGTATACTGGCTAATGATCGAGATGTGTACAGAGGAAAAGTAAACATCACTAAGTATGAATATAACCCTTATCAACACAACAGTGGACCGTTTTCTTCTCAATAAAAAAAGGCTATTCAAAAAAGGGACTCCTTTCATAAAGATTTGTCATTTTTAGGAATTTGAAAGGAACTTGAGTATAAATTTTGTTTTCTTCTATGTACCTTAAGGACACCTTAGGAAAAATTAGTGTCTTACACAACAGAATGGCATTTGCAGAATGTAGTATTAAAATGACAGTACTGGGGTTGATTACTGCGGACTGTAAGACTCTGTGTATTAAATGGTTACATCTTAACAATGTATTTAGAACACTGGTCCAATAACATAAAAATAGAGGAAAAGCATCTGGAAATTTATCTCATTCAGTGTTCAGAGATAAAAAGGTTAACATTCATTCCATTATTTCCCATAGGTAAGTCCTTGTTCACACTGAAATCTGATGGTAATTGCATTCTGGCATTTTTCCAAACTATTGTATGAAGAGGATGCTGAAGGCCATCACTATACAGCACACTGCAACATATGGACTCTTTCGTTCACCTGTTGAGAAAAAGATTTTCATCCCGATTAAATGAGTGATTCACATGGATATGACAGGTTATTACTGTGGGAGAGGGATAGATTAAGACATGGGAAAAAATAAGAAATTAGAAACATGAAAAAAAAAAACAGTTCAATGTAGAAGGAGCGAAACTGATATTTGAGACAACAATTTTCCTTAGAAAATCTTGAAAGCACCATTCCTATGCAACTGTATTATCTGAATATTAAAGAATACCATATACTCCCCCTCATCATAGTGTCTTGTATATCTCATTGTTACAATGGGTCCGCCTGTATCCCTATTTAAGCATTTTGTTTTTTCTCTTCCCCTCTCCAAATTAGACTAACATCAAATACAGTGAAAACAGGGGTTATAGCATGGGGGATGAACATACAAAGCAACAAAAAAATCACATGATACACTATAAATACATTAGAAGCAATAGGAAGAAAGAAAAAAACCACTTGTGTCCCTATCTTGGGCTTCATTTTGCTTAACATCATCTCATCTGGTCATATGTATATAGCTTTTGATCTTTTCTGCTTTGTACCAGACATACACTAGTTATTCCAAGTAAGGGAAACCATGGGACCTATGTTTCTTTGGGCCTAGTTTACTTCACTTAATACAATTTTTTCCAAGTCTTTCCATTTCCTAACAAATGGGAAGATGCTATTTTCTGATGGAGGTAGAGAATTCCATTGTGTGTGTGTGTGTGTGTGTGTGTGTGTGTGTGTGTGTGTGTGTGTGTGTGTGTGTGTGTGTGTGTGTGTGTGTGTGTGTGTGTGTGTGTGTGTGTGTATGTGTGTGCGCGTGCGTATACACACCACATTTTCTTGATCCATTCATCTACTGAGGAGCATCTGGGTTGGTTCCATGTAGTTGTAGAGGTGGGAGGGAAGGAATGGTAGGGGAAAAACAAAGGAGGCAACAATGCTTGATAGGAAATGTACTCATTACCTTGCTCATGTAACTGTAACCTCTCCGTACAGCATTTTTACAATAAAAAACTTATTAAAAAAGTATACCATGCAGAGCCAAGTTTCAGTGGCTCATGCCTGTAATCTAGCTACTCAGGAGGCTGAGATATGAAGATCTTGATTCAAAGCCAGCCTGGGCAGGAAAGTCCGTGAAAATCTTATCTCATTAAACCAGGAATGACATTGTAGCCCAAAGTAGCAGAGCATTAGCCTTGAGCAAAAGAGCTCAGGGACAGTGCATTGGCCCTGAATTCATGTCCTAGAATTGGCACACACACAAAAAACCCTCAAAACAAACAAATGAAACAACTACAAAAACAACCCATGCAGCATGAACCACAAAGATTTATTAAATTTTTGAGTATTCAGTTTGAGTATTTAACATTTGTGATGTAGAACTGAAAAAGGTAGTACTTAAAAACAACCACTTCTATATGTGTCAATTATCATAATTGTTTCAGGAGTGCTTGTATTTGGGACTTTACACATGCTGATCTGAATTGGTTTATGAAATTGTCTTGCAAATAGAGAGCCAGTGACTGTGAGTCAAACTCACCTTAATCTCTTTAGGTTAATTGTTTAGCAATTGCAAGGCTATATTAATTCATAAGACACCAAATATAAGAAAACTCTTCTAGAGTCAAAGCTCATAGAATTCACAAACTTTATAAAGCATAACAATGACAATTTGCCTCATGAAGGTTAGAATGTGTTTGTGACTTTAAGTATCACTATCTCAAAATACTCTGAAATTTATGTAATCACTTAATCACAATAAAAATTATATATAGGGGCTGGGAAGGTGGCTCAGTGGTAGAGCACTTGCCTTGCATGCCTGAGGCCCTGGGTTCGATTCCTCAGCACCACATAAGCAAAAAGAAAAAAGCTGGAAGTGGCGCTGTGGCTCAAGTGGTAGAGCGCTAGCCTTGAGCTGAAGAGCTGAGGGACAGCGCCCAAGCCCAGAGTTCAGGCCCCACAACCGGACCCCCCAAAAAAAATAAAAATAAAAATTATGTGTAAATAAAAAGTCTTCTAGAGTCCTCTATTAGAGATTTATGATTGCTTCCCTTGTGTGGATTTTTTTTTTCTGGTCCTGGTAAATGAAGTCTGGGCCTGGGTGATGTTCTTGAGCTTCTTTTACGCTCAAGGCTAGTGTTCTATCACTTGAGCCACAGTGCCACTTCCAGGCTTTTTTGTGATTAATTGGATATAAGAGTCTCATGGACTTTCTGGCTTTGAACCTCAATCCTCAAATCTCAGCCTCCAGACTAGCTTGGATTACAGGCATGAGCAATTAGCATTGGGCTATCCTTGTGTGTTTTTTTTTTTTCCTTGTGTGTTTTTTACAATAATATTTGAGTGCTATTTTTTTTTTTAAGCTTAAAATTAGCTCTTTCCTAGTAAAGAGGGTTTCCAGGAGCAAGTTCAATAAATTACTTCTGGAAAATGCCAATCTTTTTAATATTTTAACTTTTTATTGTTATTATAAAGGTGAAATACCAAGGACTTATAGTTAACTAAGTCAGGTAATAAGTCCATTTCTTTTCGGACAATGCCAACCACTTCTGTTGCTCTCTCAGTTTTTCCCTCCTATTCTCTCCCACAGTTGCATAGTTGATTTTCAACATAATGTTTAGTGAGTGCCACTGCTGGGGAAAAATGCCAATCTTAACTAATCTTTCAACTAAAACCCAAAAGTCATTTTCATTTCCAGAGCCTTCTCATTGATCTCACATTGGTATTTTATTAATAAGTTTAAATCAAGGCATTATTCCCAATAGTCAAATTATGGACTCAGGCTAGGTTCTGATCAATGGGTAAATGGATATGAAAATGTAGAACGGATATATACAATGGGATTCTACTTAGCCATTAAGAAGAATGTAATTATGCCCTTCTCTGGTAAATGGATGGAACTAGAATCATCATGCTGTGATAATAAGCCAGCCCTACCAAGATAAGCTAGGGGAAAAGAAAACAAAATAAAATAACCAAGACTAAAGGGAGGAGGGTGAGGATAAGCAAAAGCAAAGGGAGGGTGAATGTGATGTAAATACACACACACACACACACACACACACACACACACACACACACACACACACACAAGGAAGTATCATTGTGAAATTTTAGTATGTACAATTTGATGTTAGTAAAAATTGAAAATAATAAATATTATTTCTAAACACAAAGTTTCCTCAAAGAAAAGTCACAGAAATATCACCTATATTAAATAAAAAAAAATAAGCATTTGGTACTTTTCTGAAAACTTTTTAAATGCACAGATATTTAACCTTCAGTTAAATATATTCAGTTACAGAAAACATTAGAAAGTGAAAGAAGGTGCTTTTGTAATACTATCACTTAAACTGGAAAAAAATCTTTTATAACTTAAAAAAATACACTGGGTTACCATTTTAAATAATGTTAATTCTTTTCTTTCTTCACAGAAAATCAAACACTTCATATATAAATATGTAGATGTCATAAGCAAGTATGTTACTCTTATTAGAGCTAGATACACTCATTATTTAGGATAGTCTAATTCATTATCTAAAGGAAGTAATTAATAACCTCCTAAACTTTCCATCTGATGAAAATTAATTTTTGTGGAAGTTCTTTTCTTCCCTATCCCCCAACCTAGAAATACTATAATTAACATATGGCTTTCATTTTCCTGTTTTTAATTTTCTTAAAAGAGACTGCCATGTGGTAGAGCTAAACATTTTAGGCTGAACTTGAATATAAATGTTACTTCTTGTCTAGTCTTAGGTCTGTGTAAGTGAATGTGAAACAGTTGCTGTAATGTGATGTGTAACATGATAAGATGATTTGGCTAGAGCTTTTCTCATTAAAATTGCATCCTTTCTTTGTGGATATATTGTGTGTCAAGAAGAGAGGAGCATGTGCTTGGGAAAGCAGTATATCAGCATCAATATTTTTGGAGATAATTTGCCAAAATAAAAAGCTAATGTTTTCATATAATTGGTAAGAATGAATACTTTAGACCCTTTCAACTTATGGCATTCATACAATTGAGGGAGAAATGGAAAAAATAAATGAAACACCAACAACAAAAGGGAGCATTTATAACTAGGTATAAAAATGGATATTATTAAAAAAATCATTAAGCTACATACTTAATGTCTTCCTTTCTTTTTTTTTTGGTTATTTGGATACACAGACTGGAGGATCTTTCTGTCCCAGCTGATTTCAAACTGTGATCCTTAGATTTTAGGGCTCCTGAGTAGGGAGGATTATAGACATAGGCGAATGGCACTTGACTTAAACTGTTATATATTCTCTTGATCTTGTGAACAAAAGACTACATGAGCTGGCTTCTGAATAGACCTGTACCCATTTCTTTGTTACACAAAAAGGGTTTAAAATACCTTAATATTTTCTTAGCAACTTAAAGATAAAACTGGGCTGCAAATTCAGCCTCTTAACACCAGACCTACTCAGTCATTATTTTCTCTTTGCAGTTTACTTGCAGTAATTGCACTAACTCTATTCCTTGGCAATGTCTTTATCTTTCTTTTCCAGGGTGACTTGCCTCTGAAGCAAGCAGTTTGGTTTAAATATATTTATATTTCCCGTTAGCTATTAGCATTAACTACCAATGGTGCTATTTTATCTCTATCTTTCTTTTCTTGATTCCTTTTGAAGTACTTAAGATTTCTTCTGTTATTGTAGGGTTTGCAGCTGTTGTTTGTCTGAGTGCCAGATAAGTCTGTACCACAAATCTCTGCAGATCCAGGCCAGGGCTTCTGAACTCCAGTACTATTGGCATGTTGGCTTAGATCATTATGTTATGAGGGGCTGCCCTGAACATCTTAGCCAGATGCCTGACCTAAAAGCACTATATATCCTTATTCTAGTGTTGATAATAAAAAACTTTAGACATTCACAAATGTCCCCTGCCTATACACACTTATTTAAGCTACGTTGTTTTTTTTTTTTCCCCAAAATGAAGTCTGACAAAGAATACAGAGGGAGGATAACGGAACACATTAGAAGCACATTGAATTTGCTGGGAGAGGTCTGTTTCATAGTCACTATATTAGAAAAACGGCTTTGACAGAAGTACTTTCCTTTGAAGTCCATTACCCTGATGTCATCACTTTATGAATTTGACAAGCCATTCCCATCATCAGATTCAGAAAAGGACTTCTAGACATCTATGACTTCCAGACTTCTACTTGTGTTATCAGAAAAAGTTTAATGGAAGTTTCTTTTGTATGTTCTTCCCCCATGGTATAACTGTGGTTTTCACTGTATAACATGGTTTTCACTGTATTTGATTCTGGTGCCCTATATTTTGTATATACATTTTTCTAATTTGGGGAGGGGAAGAGAAATAACAAAATGCTGAAATAAGAATACAGGTTGACCCATTATAACAATGAGACTCACAGATACTATGTTGAAAATGAACTTTACAGCTTTGGTGGGGGGAAGGGGAGATGTTAGGGAGATAGGGAGGGAAGGGATGGTAGAGGAAAAACAAAGGAGGGGTAACAATGCTCAATAGGAAATGGACTCATTACCTCACTCATGTAACTGTTACCCCTTTGTACAGTATCTTTATAATAAAAAATATATTAAAAAAACAAAAGAAGTTTAATGGAAAACAAAAAACCCTTGTGAAAATTCAATGACTAACAATGTAAGATGTTTTAAAGACATAAGTATTTTTATGCAAAAAATGTTTTCAAGTCATTTTCCTTAGAAAAATTTCTCAGTATTTTAAGAACTTTGTAGTCTTCAATCTTTTACCAATATCGTTTCTTATTCTAGACCTGTTTTCTAAAATTTCCACATCTCTAAGAAGTTGAAAGACAAGATAAAAAGAACATAGCTTTTCTAAAAGAAAAGACTTTTTTTTTTAACTGTATGTTTTTTGTCTTTTCTTTTTTGTTACTGGGGATCAAACCCAGGACGTTGCACTTGCTAGGCAAGCGCTTTGCCACTGAGCTACATCCCAGCCCAAGAAAAGACTCTTAAGTCCTCTATCATACTTAAAGAGCTGGGTTTAAGTCATTGAGAATTTGTTAAACTGGCTATCCTGATATATAAACTATTTTTTGCATTATGAAAGCATGACAACTGTATGAAAGAAAAAGTAGTCATGCATAAACTTAACGTTAAAGAATGATGAATTTGAAAAATATTTTTACTCTTAAGAATAACTTAAAAGAGAGTAAGAAATATTATTCATTGCAATCAGTCCAAGTGGGTATAGGTATAAATTCCATACACACACATATATTATATCTATATCTGTTTCTGTATATATATCTTAAGTAATCAGGCAAGTTAAGAACATGTAGAGAGTTTGGTATTCAAAAATACTTTATTCAGTTTGAGTCTACTATATGATGGGCACAGTGTTATATGTTTTCATGTCTATCTTTCTATAAACACACATATATAAATGGTTTATCATCTATATCTACACACTTATATAATGTAAATAAGTATACATGAAACTATACATACACTTTTTGAAACCTCTTCAAAAATCAGAGTATTTAATATCTGAATTACAGAGATTTGCTTCTATATATGTAATTATTGTAAGGAAGTTATCAAGTCTAGTTTTAAATAGTACAAGTAAAAAAAACTTGGTGGAACTCTATAAAAGTACACATTGTGGGGAAGACTGCACTTTTAAGAACATTTGATTTCTGGATTATGACATAAATAAATTTGTCAACAATCTGTAGCTGAAGAAATGGAGAATGAGTTTAACACTTACCAATTCTGGCGCACTTCCAAAATATTCCCAACAGTCTGCACAGAACAAAAAAGAACACAAGTGGCTACTGAATATGGGAAAGGTAAATTATTGCTGCCAGTATCATATAAAACAGTAACTATAGACTGACATTTTAGCCTTTAATGCTTTGTTTCACTTCTGAAACATTGAGCTAACATGTATCTATGAACACAGGACACAATAGGCTACTAGTCATTGATGGAAAGAAACTGCCACAAATTACAATGTATAACAGGCCAAAAGTAGAGTGAATAAATGTGAGAGTGGCAAAATTTTGCCTAAGGGCTTACTGTATTAATTCATCAACATCATTTACCACCTGCGAAATGAGAAAATTTATATGTTTGCTAAATTTGAGAAAATGACAAATAAAAATGACCATTTCAGATGAATTTTAACAGGTATACTAAAAAGAATTTTTCTTTTTGTCAGTCATGGGGTTTAAACTCTGAGTCTCGTGCTATTCCTCAACACTTCAACTCAAGGCTAATGTTCTACCACTTGAGCTACAGCACCACTTCCAGTTTTCTGGTGGTTAACTGGAGATAAGAGTCTCACAGACTTTCCTGCCCAGGTTGGCTTTGAACCACGATCCATAGATCTCAGCCTCCTAAGTAGATAGGATTAGTAGCACCTGACTTAAAAATAAGAACCTTCTCAGTTTAGTGAATGGGAAAAATAGAATTTTTTTTCAAAGAATGGCTAGCTAAACAATTTTACTTTAGAAATAAAAGGATTATAGCCAAAAACATTTCTGAAAATAGTACAAGTAAACATAAAGGTAAGATTGTGCTTTAATTCAGTCATGCTTATTGCATACACGACTGTGGTCAAGTTTATTTTCTCTCTTTAGTAATAGCATCTATCATCCTAAGTTATTAAATGAATGATTATACAGAAAGTCTCCAAAATAGTGATTAATATGTGCTAAAGTCACATACAGGCTAAAGTCACATGTGATATTACTTACAGATATTACTTAAAATCAGTTTCAGTTTCTTTGTCAGTAAAGAGAAGATAAAGAATAGGCATACACAAAGCCAGAATGTTCCTTGATCTCTAAATCAAGGTTTTTCTAGGCTGACTATCCTAGAAATAACAAAGTATTAATAGAGAATAGGCATAATAGTATATTAAAATCTTTTAAATGAACGAAGAATTCTAACTTTGATTTAACATAAAGATTTGTAATTACCAGTTTGGTTGTTTCAACATTATTTGTCTATTTAAGATACATTTCTGTTATATCTCAAATGGTTAAAAAACACCCTATTAGCTGATAAAAGTTAATGCAAATAATGCTTACTACAAATGCTAATCATGGTAACAGGTCTAAAAAAACTAAGTAAAATTCATGTAACTGTAATAAGAAAGGACAGAAAACCAAATTTTTACAAAATATATTTGCCATATATAATAATAAAAAACATTTAACATCTAGTTAAGTAGAAAGATTTTTAAAATGGCTTTTAAACAGTTGTCCATATTAGTGTAAACTTTAGACTAGAAATGTAATAACAGGCATGCTTTTCATCTGTTTTTTAATTAGGAGAAATATACTACAACTCAACTTCTACTATATGGCTGACAGCCTTGAGAACTCCTTTCATAATGTAGAATGTTATGGATGCATACCTATCCCAAAGGAATTTGGAGTAGACATTTCTGAATGCAAACTTCTTCCAAGAATAAAATTCACACAGCATCAAAAAAGTGCAAATATTTCATTGTATGATTACGTAAATCTTATTTTAGTTTTTAGTGATATTGGGGGTTTGAACTCAGGGCATTGCACTTGCTTGGCTGGTGTTCCTCCATTTTAGATGCACATATATGTCTCAAAGAGGTCTGGACTGTAATCTTACTGTTGGTTCTTCTAGAACAGCTAGGATGACATTTACAGAATCACTATGCTCAGCATTTAATGTCTGAAATGAGGTCTTGAATACGTTTTGTTCAAACTGACCTTGACTCATGATCTCCTCTCACTTCCTGATTAGTTAAGATTACAGACCTGAACCATTGCACTTGACTTCTGTGACAATTTTATTAGAAAAATGTATCATAATACCCATGTATTACATTTGAGTCCCAAATATCAGATCAACGCAAGTAAGCAGAGTACTGGTTTAGAGAACAAAATAAGACACTATCTAAAAGGAGTGTGAAACTACCGTAAGAATTGATGAATAAGTAGTATTTGTTTTAATCTTCATTCTGCTTCTTAAAAATAGATTCTATTTCAGCTTACATATTAGATCAGGTTTGAAATTTAACTTTTAATAAGACATTATGAGTCAGGATTTTAGACTTTTAAGAAATAGAGAAAAATAACAAAGTTATTAAAAAGTAAATTATAACTAGAATTAAATGGATGGTTTGGATGATTAGACATCATTAGCAACCTACCCAGTTTTATTTCTGTCCAGGATGCTGGGTGCCATGGATCGGATGTAAGCACACGTACATATAAGCAGCAAGATTACAGTCAACAGACTCTGAAAGTTGAAAATGGCAGACTAAAAAGAGAAAACAAAATGAAACAAATTAATACTTCAGGAAAAACTGCCTAGTAAAGAATGCCAGACAAATCTATAAGAAATTGTTTTTATTTCTTCAAAAAGTCAAACAATACAATATGTGTAATTGCCATATAAAACTGAATCATGAAATATTCTAAAAATGTACTTTCTTATGCATTTTCTGGGCTAAAGAATGCAGGAGGTGCCACAGAAATATAAAATTTGAAAAATACCATAAACCCCAAATGGCTGACTAGAGCTGAGTCAGCCTGTAATTGCTACAGATATTCTAAGAGCCCAGACAACTTGACAGACATTCAGGTCTATTTGCTCTGCCAGTCACTGGCTAGATGGATCCTGTGCAATCACTGCCTCTCAAACTATCTTAGAACAGTAAAGCTGGTTGGAGACTGCAAAGACTGAGTATTGACTAATGTATTTTTCAATTTTGATTTATTTTCTGGGATAAGTATTTAATAGACCATGTTTCTGGTATACTGACAAATATTAGCTTATTACATATTGGTCAAAGAAAATCATCTGCTTTTCCATTTGGCCCATTTGAAAAAGGAGAGGGGTTGATTTCATATCTTGGCTATGGTAAACAATGTTGCAACAAACATGAGTTGTACTGTTAGCTTTAGTGTGTCCTGTTTTGTGGCCAACTGGATAAATACAGATGCTGGATCATAGGGAAGCTCTATGTTTAGTCTTTTGAGGAACCTCCATACTGCTTTCCAGACTGGTGAAACAAGTTTACATTCCCATCAACAGTGCAGTAGTGTTCCCTTTTTGGCTATCCCAGCCAGCATCTGTTATTGTTAGTTTCCTTGATAATGGCCATTTTAGGGGTGAAGTGAATCCGAATGTTGTTCTGAATTGCATTTCTTTTATGGCCAGAGATCTTAAACATTTCTTCATTTGTCTATTGGTCATTCTTACTTCTTCTTCTGAGAAGTCTCTCTTTAGCACATTTTAATTGGGTTGTTTCTTTGAGGATTTGATTTTGGAAGGGTTTTTTTGAGCTCTGAGTATATTTTAGATATGAGGCTCTTGTCTGATGTGTAGCTAGTAAAGATCTTCTCCCAGTCTGTGGGCTTTCTATTTATCTTGCTAGTTATGTCCTCTGCTGTGTAGAAACTTTTCAGTTTGGTGAAATGTGCATATGATCATATAAAATGTTTATTGAAATGAACCAAGAAATGGAAACAAGGTTTGTTCTTTTTCAATTTTCCCCCATTTGTTGCTGTTTTTTATTTCTGTACATTTTGTCTTATATACAAGTTTATGTTTTGGGGAGGGTAAGGGGAAGAACAGAAATGGTGGGATAAAGGGTAAATTAATTCAGCTGTGATACTAGTCACTAGGTTGAAAATGAACTATACAACTTGCAGAGGAAGGGGGAAGAGGGAACGGGGGAACTGGGAGAAAATTAGGGAGGAGTTGACACTGTTCATATTATTTCAAAAATTAAAAAAACAATAACAAAGAATCCCTCAAGTTAAGTGCAATCTTTTTGAGGACTCCATCTTCACTCCCATCTTGTATTTCATACACAACTCTTTTCTTTCCCTCTCCTTTTTTCTTGAGACAAGGTGTTGCTATCTAACCCAAGGGTGGCTTCAAATGTGTAGGAGCCTCCCATGTGCTGGGTCTATAGGTATATGCTATCTGACTGGCCCTAGAATTCTGTTGATGTACCTGATTCATGGAAGCTCAAGTAAGATATATTTTAAGAATAAAACAAGTTTTAAAAAGTATAGATATATTTCATATAATAATGAAAATTTTCATTATTCCTATAACCATACACAGCAACCAGAAATATGCCTCTTTAGTAAACTCAGAACTCTTAAAAATCAAGAGTGAATAACAGCTATAAAATAATTCAAAAGAGGCAAAATTTCTTACTTGCAGTATGAGTGCTTATCTGAATAGTCTAAAAGAATCTAGTGAAAAATAGCTATAGACCTAAAGGGAACTAATCATGGTGTCTGAGGATATAATTAAAATATTTACAATAGCTTTCATAATTATATTATCACTTAATTGACAGACATAAAAAAATCGAAAAGATTGCACATCTTATTTACCAATATTCTTTAAAACAAAAAGTACTTATATACAATGTACAAAAACTATGTGGTATGCAAAACAGGATGCAAGATTTCATAGCCAGCATAGCTTTAGCTACGGAAAACTTTTAAGTATGAGTAAGAGAGCTCAGTGGTTATCTTTGATAGATTTCACCTAATTCTCAACTTCTCTGGCTTTCTCAAAGACTTTGTTGCTTTTATTAGTCTGCAAAAGATAAAAAAAAAAAAAAAAAAGATTTGCCATTAAACTTTTAAAATTTGTTTTTTTGTGCAAAGGCTTTTCTCATTGATATAGCAAAGGCAGAGTTCAATGTGGCTTGATTTTAACTAAACTGGGTTTTAATTTTATATCTATGATCATTTCCAGATAGAAAGCACAGGTTTCAAAACGTTTATCTTTTAATAGTTATAATGGTGAGCATTTATATGAGTGTATTAATAGTATTAGATAATAATTTAAAAAATACAAAGCATATTTCCTCTTAGTCAAATGACTAAATGTGCATGCACTATGTCTGGGGAGAGGAAAGACAATCAGGACTGAAAAGGTACATGACCTGATTCCTTCCTGGAGTTTATAACTAATAATTACTGATATTCCAATAAGTACTATTCTGTACTCTCTAATATCTGAGGTAGAAATTTCTATTATCCTTACTAGATGAGTACTACTACTGAGAATATATAGCAGTTATACTCAAGTCTGATCAAGAAATGCACTTTCAAAATCGAATAGCAAATCACTGTTCACATTCAAGTAAAGTCTGAACTATGGGGATAAAGGCTGTTTTCATAAAGAAAAAACTTTAAGGAGAAAGAAGGAATAGAATTGAAACACCAAGGGGAAAATTTAGTTGGAAAGCAGGCTCCAGATGAGACAGAAACATGGGGGAAAATATCCCCAGAAATAAGGATTTTCTATGTTCAGAGAATAAAAGATATTGTACTAAGGAAAAGATTCCTGCAAAGAAATTTGCCAAGTGCGTTTGTCATCTTCCTAATAGTGTCTAAGCTCAGAGTTTGGTTATATGTTCACTCTACTCCAGTGAATATCTTAATACCATATGGTTAAATGATATGATGCTCATGCTTTTCCCTATGTTTGTAGCTGATGGTAAAATTAGTATATGGAAGGTCCTCTTACCCTTCTTTTTACCTTCATATGTTTGAAGTATTTCATAATAAAAGATAAAAAGGCCCTTGAGAACATGCCTATTATTAAAGTGTATATATACATACATTTGCCTGTGTGCTGTCATTTACAAATGAAAACCATTTACAAGTACAAAATAAATTATAAACACAACTTTGTCTAGGGTTTAAAGACTCCAAAATTTAAACAAATAATCTTAGATGGTAAAGCCTTTTAGATGTACTTAAAACTCTGGTCAAAAGAGTGTTTCTAAGTTACAGACATTAGCCTGTCACCTATCACATTCCTCCTCCTAATGCTTTGCATCTGTTCATTGGTATAAAATTATAGTTTCAGGGTTAGATGAACCAGATGTCCCTGTTCAGTAGAAAAATGGGAATTTTAATATGAAAATGTTACTAAGAGAGAAAGCCAAAGAAGCTAAGGCTACATAATCATAAAAGATAATAGAAAAGATGGTTAGAAAGTAAAATTCATTCATTAAGTTTAATTTTTAACCCTTTAATTCATGAGCACTTTTCCAAGCTACTGTTTTGTACATATGATAACTACTCTTGACATATTAGTGAATTGAGTCATTCTTTCAGTCTAAATTTGAGTTACCTGATCTATGAAGTCATTACTGTTTTCACTCTACCCATTGATCTGTACTATAATTGTTTTCTCTATTTCATTGAAATTCTAATCAGTACCATGAATATTAAACAAAATGGCATATAGTAGTCACTGAAAACTGGTAAAAATGAACAATAATGAATATATATACACATCTAAGAGCATACTTAAATTCCAAATTAACAATGAACATTATTTTTAAAAAGCCAATGAGATCAGTGTTGAATACATTTTGTTAATTACTCAAGAGAAATCTCTACTATACTCTGAGTTTATAATTAATTATCAAAGTCATTTCTGAAAATGAATCAGAAAAAATTCCTTAGGCTTATGAGGAGGGCCTAAGCTTTAGATTAAAATAAAAGCCTGATGTAATTTCTACCTGATATTCACATCTGCTATATATATATACTAGATATACTGTATATACTAGATATAGCTCAGATATACTAATGCTTTTCAAAAAGACATTCTATTACCCCTCTCAACTGTAGGCCTATCACATCACTTATAACTAAACAGAGTGTGCCTTAAATAACTAATGCTACAACACTGAATTAATTTAACAAAACCAAAAGAAAATAAATTTGATGACTCAGATACTTTGTATAAGCATTTTGAAGTAAACCACATCTGGTCACCATTTATACTACATAGATTAATTTCTCAACCATTAGGCAAAGGTTAATCAATGAAAAGCTTAATGCTTAACAAACCTTTAAAAAGTTTTCTAATGTCAAGTCCCTTTGAAAAGAGTATCTTTTCATATTTCATTTGTTATCATACATTATTAAGATATAATTTCTAACTATTGGTGTAATTTCTCTTTTTTTGTTTTGTCAGTGGTGGGCTTGAACTTTGGGCTTGGGCACTGTCCCTCAGCTCTTCAGCTCAAGGCGAGCCCTCTATCGCTTGAGTCATAGCGCCACTTCCGTGGTGTAATTTCTGAATGCTAAAAATATTCATGAAATTTTCATATTTATAAGATAGCAACATAGGTTTTTTTGAAAAAATTATAAATTTCTAAATAAAACCACTAAGTCACTCAAGGTAATCTTTCAAATCAGAAATCTTAGGAAGCCACAGGAAACATTAGAAAAAGAAACAAGAGAGCTATCCAAGCAATTGAAAGACAAAAACAGAAGAAATATACACATCAATATTTTAAACATGCTTTGCCTAGAGACTTCTCAGTAGGTTATTATCTACACATAATCTAAAGAAAAGATCTTGAACCTATGGTATTTTCATTAGGAATAGATCACTTAGGCTTCAGGTAGCTTACAAAATACAGTATTTAACACATTTGTTGAATAAGGGCTTTTGTTATGCTTAACACAGTCTTTCTTGAGGCTTCAAGATTGCTCATGTTGTAAAGTTTTATTGACATACTAATTTTTCCAACATTACTTAAGAAGACTTTTAAACAAGAGCTGAATATTTTTTAAAGAATTAAAATTCCAAGTAGTAACCCTTTTACTTGGAATTTAAAAAGTTATTCCTCTTTGGATGGAAAGAAACTCAGAAATGACAGCCCTGATTTAATAATGATAAAAATTATATAGCACTAGAAAAAATGGGTCAGCACTTCATCATTTCATTTACAAATCTAGGTCAGGTCACAGTAAATGTACTGTGTATATTACATAAACACAGTACTACATACTGTTACTGGTTCTCAAATCTGAAAACATGGAAATAGAGAGATATTTGCTTCCTATGAATATGAAAATGGACACATGCAGCATTTGCCCAAGATAATGAAGAAATGAATAAATGTGTATTTACTCTCTTCATCATCAATGGATGGCTAACAATTGATATTCTAGTTATCTGAGAGGGTAAGACTGGGAGGATCCAGGGTTGCAGGCCAGAGTGGGCAGAAAAATCTGACAGAATGTTTTGAAGAGAGGAAACTGGGTAGTACACGTACCTGATACAAACTTGAAACAGACAGTTAACAGTCTAGACACCTGCTTCTGGCAGTTAGTGAGACCTAGTTCAAAAATGTTAACATAAAGCATTTGCCCAACAAGCTAAAAGCTCAAACACAATTACTACTCCTCTCCCAAAGGACAATTTGTCCTTAAGTAAACAACAATTTTACATTTACTTACTTGTTAGTTTCATTTGTTAAACATGCATTTGATCTCATTGTTGCTGTTTCAAAGATGTCTAAAAACCATTTCTACTTATATTTTCCTTTTAAGAACTTTTCATTGTCACAAGCAAAGCTTCTGCTTGGAGTAGATGCTTTTCAGCTCTGTACTAGACTGGCAACATTGGTGGTAATTTGTAGTTCAAAAATGGTGTAAAAGTACAGTCAAAATAGTCATTAGTGGGCTGGGAAGGTGGCTCAGTGGTAGAGCGCTTGCCTTGCATGCTTGAGGCCCTGGGTTCGATTCCTCAGCACCACATAAGCAAAAAAGAAAAAAGCGGAAATGGTGCTGTGACTCAAGTGGTAGAGCACTAGCCTTGAGCTGAAGAGCTGAGGGATAGCGCCCAGGCCCAGAGTTCAGCCCCCACGACCGGACCCCCCCCCCAAAAAAAAATTAAATCTTTAAAAAAAATAGTCATTAGTAAAGTTTGAAAAGGGAGTCCACATAGGTTCTTAATAAAAATCAATCACAAAAGAAGATATTCTCAAAGACAAAGAGCAAATTTTGCTATAATACAAGGTATTATTGCCATAATACAAAAATACATTGGCTTTACACTCAGGAAAAGACCAAGACAGATTAATAAAATGGACAAAAAAACCCCTAAAAACCAAACTTTTCTGAATACTGGGCACCAGACATGGTATAAATCACAGCTGCATACTAGAATTATTTGGAGCTTTAATAAACAGCCAATATGCCCAAATCTCGACTTAATCCATGTGAAATTTAGTTATCTAAATTTCTTAAAGAAATTACTTGTAATGTTATAAGCACTTTGCTAGCGGTTCAATCTCCAACATCAGAATCCTATTATCCAAAGTTGTTTCTCAGAATTCTTTATGGGCACTTGAAGTCAAAACTATTTTTATATTAAGGTATTGGTCTTATTGTGATATTTTCATTGATGCAAAAAAAATTGTGGTATAGAATTATCACCTTATTTTCCCCAATACCCTATATAAAACTTACTTTCTTAAATTTTCTATAGAATTACTAGCATTGTGCCTAATACAAAGGGCACTGGATTTGGTGACAGAGGGGGGCTTACTAAGTTTAAATCTTAATTTTCCTATATATAAGCAAGGTAGTACTGACAGTACATTTTACCTTTTTCTTAATGTGTAAAATATGGCCAGTAATTGCTCTAACAAAACTTTGCTAAGCTTCTGTTTTCTTAAATACTTAAAAATTAAAAATTATGAAAAATATCTATTTTTAAGCCCAACAGTGTAAGAGAAATGTTCAGAAGTTATCATGGTCTCCAAGTCCAAATTCTTATGGAAATTACCAGTCACTTATATATATCCTTCCACAGCCATTTTGGACATACAAGAATATAGACAGTTGGGCTTCTATATCTGTGGGTTGCACATCTATGTATACAAAGAACTATGGATTGAAAACTAAGCGCATGAGACCTCATCTGAACTGATAAAGGGCGGGCATGGTGTATGCTTGTCGTCACAGCTATTATGGAGGAAATAAAATAATCAATCAAAAGTAGAAGAATCAATCCAGGCTGGTCTGAATATAAACTATATATTCTTAACTCAAAATATGGAACAAGGGGACATGGCTGAAGTGGTAGAGTACCTGCTTTCAAGCAAACGCCTTCAGTTCAAATCTCAGTGCTGACAAGAGATAAAGTAATCTGGAGAATGTGTAACAGTTGTAATAAATATTATGACATTTCACATTAAAAAAAGATGAACAGGGGCTGGGAAGGTAGCTCAGCGGTAGAGTGCATGCCTTGCAAGCATGAGGCCCTGGGTTCGATTCCTCAGCACCACATAAACAGAAAAAGCCGGAAGTGGTGCTGTGGCTCCAGTGGTAGAGCGCTAGCCTTGAGCTGAAGAGCTGAGGGACAATGCCCAGACACAGAGTTCAGGCCTCATGACCAGCAAAAAAAAAAAAAAAAAAAAAAAAGAGATGAACAACTGTAGAGCTTGGTATCTTTGGGAAGTGGAACCAATCTTCCAGGGATGAAGGCCTACCTTTATGATTGAGGGCAACAAGTCACTAAGGCTTTAATCCAGACTTTTGCTGTTATTTTCACACCATGAAGAATTCTGGTATACATTCATTAAGATAAGTTTAAGTCCTGATTTTATTACCTACTAGCTATGTGATCCAAAGCAAGTTGGTATCCTTGCTCAAATTCCTTCATCCAACATCTGCTCAGATGTTGGCATGGTCTTAAAATAAAACAAGCTTTCTAAATTAATTTCTTTGAATACAGCTTGATGCACTACAAGTGTTAACTAATGAAAGCTACTATTGTTACTTTTATTAAAAATAAGCACCATTAGACAGTCTGAAGATTCTTGGATCATAAGCTGTCTTGCTTCCAGTTAGTACATATGCCAGGATGATGTCTACTACTCTAAGTTGAAAAAGGACTAAATTTTTGCATTAAGCTAAATGTTCACTGATGAAAACTCTTAAAAGCAAGTAAATGAATGCTATCATTTGGTAGATGGGAAAAGAGACTGAAATAGAAAATAAAAGCCTCGTCTAAAGGAATAATGTGCAAGTAATCATCATCTTCATCAAGTGGTAAGCTTTTCCTCTGATTTACGTCCAAATCACATTCAAAGCAACTGACATAAAGCAGGCAAGATTAAGAATGAATCCTGACTGCTAATGGATGTTTGCTATATAGGATTCTGCTGTAACCTCTGGGAGCACATGCTTCATGACTTTTCGTTAAAGCAATTCTTAACTTTTGGGGAAGTCACAGATGTGTTTGAACTGTAATAATCGCATCCTTTTCATAAGTGTTTATAAACCAGGAGTCACAGAGATTTTACAAATTCACCTCAAAGGCCTCATGTAGTTAGTGGCTGTTGGCATCTTCCTCTACAAAAGCAAATGTTTGCAGACATGCTTTGGAGATTTTTTTTTCCTGTTAGCCCCTCTACTACACTCATGCTCAGGTCATTTAGGTTGGCTTTACTTTTCTCAGCATGGCAATTTCTTTTACGATTCTGATTTACAGTGCAAGCTTTTCTTAGAGGCCTAATCTACGATAGCACAAAATAGCAGACACGTGTATGACTACTCCCGCCCCCCACCCCCCACCCCCGCCCCGCCCCAGGTTGTGGGCCAGACTCAACTATGTGAAGTGCATGAAGCTCCTAGAAAAGAACCTTTGCAGAGAACCAGAAATCACTGGAGCCTGTATCTCGGAAAGTAGCACCTTTAGAGTTGCAATGAAAAGTCAATGATTCAACAGGTTATATGGAAAATGTATAGTTTAGTGGGTAGACAACAGTAACAACTGAATGAAACAAGGAGGATGAGATAAAGGAGGGGGAGAGAAAAAAACAGTTTGAAAGTCCGTAAACTCTATACCTCAAAAGTCAAAGGCACCGATAATCTATGTAAGCGACGGGTTAAAGCAGATCAGCACAGTTGCTCTGGGCCAGACAGGAAGGAGGCCTCTGAGAGTCCCAGAATTGTGTGGTTTCCTGGAACGGTGGGACCGGGTTCGTCCAGGATGGGCAGAGAAGAAGCCACATGGCTCTGCGGCCGCTGCACCCTCCGAGCCCCGGGAGCATGGTTGGTGAAGGGTGTCCCGGGCCGGCGCATGCAGGGCAGCCGCATTACCTTCCAGCCCGACCGCAAAACCCCCACAGCCCCTACGACAAGCCCAGCAGCCGCAGTTCTTACCATAGTGAGACCAGAGATAGCCCAGCCACATCACCCTTCCGGACCCCAGGCGGAAGAGGTGTGTACGACCCACCTGGGCTTCTTGCTCTCTCCGGCAATCCGATTTGCTTGATTACGCGTCCCCGCCCAGGCCCCGAGATTCTGACAGTTTGATAGGCGCTTTCCTACCGGAAAAGGCGGGATTGAACGACGAAATACTGTCCTGCGGAAGTAGCTAACACTGTCATTGGCTCGCCACATTGACGTTCCCAGAGACAGCGTTCTCGAGGAGACCGGAAGTGGAGTCTTGGAGAGGTAGGGCCAGGAAGTGGAGGAGGTCTCTTTAAATGATAGTCGTTTGCTGCTTTATTTGTGGTTTTCTTTTATCGTTGTCATTATTATAGGTTATTATATTATATATTATGATCGTTGCAGTTTCTTCACATTTACAGCACTTTCACTTTTCCTGCCTGAGGTCTCCCTCTGGGTGAGGGCTCTCAGGGATGCCAGGGTACCCAGCCTCCATCTACGGGTGTGCACCTGTTGCATTTACTTTTTGGCTTCTTTTCTGTTTTATGCGGGAGAAACTTTTAGAAATGCGAAGCATTTTGAAGGTCTATGTTGTGATCCTATTGACATTTGAGTCCTGAGGGTTGGGTTGCGTTGGGTTGGTTGATTTTTTTTTTTTTAAATTTACTTCCCAGCCGCCCTTCGTCCCACTCCCCAGGCTTGTTGCAGAATGACTGTGGGTCCCAGGACTGCACCATTCTAGGCCCCGTGGAGAGAGGAAAGAACATTTTGTGGTAGCCAGTGGAAAGGATTTGCCCTTTCCTGAATGCAGTAATTGATTAATGGAATCCTAGTAGGGTAAGCAGTTATTCTAACCCTATTTTTCTAAACCCATTTTCAGTAAGAAACAGACAATCTCATGCATTGAACTTTATAGTTAATAAGATGACACAGTTTTTCACTCTAACCTCTAGCGCATAAAAGGTATGGCAAATTTTGTTTCCAAGTAGCTGACTTATTTTTTCTCCATCAGTATATAGTTCTTTTAAGAATATTACCAGTTAAATTTCATTGACTTAGGATAGATAAGGAGAGTGAGAGAAGAAAGGTCATGTGAGGTATTGATTTATGATCTGCATTCTATCCAAAGGATACTCCTTAATATTTAGAATACTACAATGATTAGGACATTTGGGTCTCTGCCATATGAGATTGTATTGTTAAATTACACGCAATTATTTTAATCTTAATTTAATTAATAATATGAATTATTTATTTTAATCTTAATGATATTTTGAATATATTATACTTAATTTTCAAGAATTGGTCAAATATACAACTCACTAAGTTTTTCACAAGCACCTGCTTATTCGCCATATGAGTCAGCAGCAGAGAAAGATAATCTGTTCTTTTGAGTAATTTATTAGGGATACAGAAGAGGATAATAACTAATTTCAAAAATAAATGTATATTCTACCTGCCTGTCAAAAAGGTCATTTAATGCTGTTGTAATTGCCATACTTTCTCTTACAAGTTAAACATTCTCGATGTCATAACTGACCTTTATTACATGTGAAGATTGATACCATATTATGCAGATGTACTTCAAACTGACTTAGAAGAGTACCATTATGCAATTGTTGTTTGAAATTGCAAGTCTTTTGTTGTAAACAAAGGTTCTTAATGTTTCCCTATGGCATATTAAAATAGACACACTGACCTTTTTCTGTGGGGAGAGTGCACAGGTTTCCTTATAATCTGAGGCTTAAAAATTAATGTAAATGTTCTAAATGATTTTCATGCAGTTTAGCACTCAGTGACTGTTGGCTGTTCAGTAGTTGGCTTTCTCCTTATCCTGCTTGTTTAATGATAGAAGAACAATTCATTTGAAAATATTAAGTATACAATAAGATGTTTTTATACTATCAGACCACTTTCTCTGCATTTTGATTTTGATTTTGGTTACTAATAGTATTTATGGCTAATTTATATTAGTTACCTTTTACATTCACTGATATTCACGTAGACATAGCTTATAGCTTAAGGTAGAGCTTATTTGTGTTTCATTATTTGCTCTAACTGCCCTACTTTCATTCTACTCCATGACTCTTGGATTATGACCTATAAACTTTTTATTTGATGTGCATATTATTTCTTTAACCTTAAACGCTTCTTTTAACCTTTTCCCACCTGCACCCTTATTAATTTGCTCTTTTCTGCAATAAAAAATGTAGTTCTCTACTCTCTAGTTCTCTCTTTTGATTCTTTCATAAACCATTGGTAAGTCTTGTCTCTTTCTATTTCATATATTTTGAGTGTTTTGTATTAGTACAATGATCTCCCACTTGAATTTCTGTTATTTATCACCCATTTCTTGTTTGGATTATAGTTATAGTTCTTTTGAGAACCTTAATTTCTTGACTAGTGTTCTCACTATTCTTTCTGCTTTATTCAATCCTTGCCTTTTTGCAGTTTATTTTCTAGTACTAGCCAGTGAAGTTACTAAAATATAAGTAAAAATTGTATTAAGATATAGGGTTGTATGTGTAACTAGTCATCCTAGATTGACCCAGGAACAGAATAGGAAAATTAGTGAAAAAATTGGTAAAATCTGGAAGTAGTTTGGAGTTTGATAGTAATGTGACAGTGTTGGTGTCTTAGTTTTAGTTAATGCATCATGCTAATATAAAAATGGTAATATTAGAAAAGAGTAGATGAGTCACTTAAGAGAACATTATGTCATCTTTTTAACTTTGCTGTAACTCAAGAATAATTCCAAGATAAAAAATGTATTAATGAATGTCACTTTCTTTGCTTAAAAATCGTATTACTAATTAGAAGCAAGGTATAAGTGGTGTTCTTCAATTAATTTACACGACTACATGAACTGGTCTTATCTCACCTTTGCACCCCTACATCTGTGCATTCATTCTCTCCCTTAATTTTTTTCTAGCTAATGTGGCCACCTTTTTACTTATAACACAGGGCCTAGGATCTGCTTCTGGCTTTGCATAGGCTCTTTGTTTACTTGGAATGCTTTCTATTCACCATCAAACTAGTTATTTTTCATCTGTTTTATGTACTTGCCGAAATATAATCTTTTCAGGTAATCATCACTATTTAAAATTGCACTTTTTCAACAATGCATATTTGGTGTTCTGCATTTCAGTCTCCTCTGCGTCTCTTTTTACTGAGCCTGGGCACAGTCCCTCAGCAGTTCAGTTCAAGACTAGCACTCTACCACTTGAGCCACAGTGTCACTTTTCTGGCAGTTTATTGGAAATAAGAGGCTCATGGACTTTCCTGCCTGGACTGGCTTTAAACCAGTAATCCTCAGATCTCAGCCTCTTGAGTAGCTAGGATTACAGGTGTGAGCCATCAGTGCCTGGCTCTGCCGCAAGTATTTTTAAGTGTTTATTTTCCTTTATTAAAATGTAAGATTCTAACAGGCATCAGTGGGTCACACCTGTAATCCTAGACACTCAGGAGGCTGAGATCTGAGAATTGAAGTTCAAAGCCCAGGCCCTGGGTTCAAGCCACAGGAATAGCATGTGTGTGCACACACACACGCACACACACACATGCACACACACACATGCACACACACACACACATAGAGTAAAATCCTAAGGCCAAGAATGAGGCCAAGTTTCTTTTTGTTTTTGTTTTTGTTTTTTTTTTAACTGTATTTTTTTTTCTTTTTTGGAACTGGGGATTGAACCCAAGACATTGCATTGCTAAACAAGCTCTTTGCCACTGAACTACATCCCAGCCCAAAGCCAAGTTTAAAGTACTTACCTGAAGTATAGTCATAGGGAATCAATTTTGGTTTAATAAATGAGTTTAATTATGTATCTGAATTTGTCATTTCTGATAGGCTATATGAAACAATTATTATTTTAATGTATCATTCTATTTCTTTTTTTTTAATTTTATTTTATTTTATTTGAGAGCATACTGTACAGAGGGGTTACAATTACATGGGCAGGATAATGCATACATTTCTTACCAAGCATTGCAGCCTCCTCCTTTGTTTACCCTTCACCTCCCTTCCCAGCCTCCCTCCTCCCCCCCACCCAGTCCTCCCCCCCCCCACACCAACATTGTAAAGCTCGTTTTTGACATGACATTTTGTACTTCTCATTGTTGCAACAGGTCCACCTGTATCCTTAAACGACTTGTTTGTCCCCATCTCCTCCACAAGTTATACTGACATCAAATATAGTGAAAGCGGGGGTTACACTGTGGGGGAGGGACATACAAAGCAACAAAGAAATAATCTTATAAATGCGTTAGAAACACATGCATGAAAGAAAAAAAAACATTAAAATACATATTTAAGGGATCGTATTCCTAACATCACATTATCTGACCTTTTCCGCTTGACTCATACATATACTAGATATTGCATATAAGGGAAACCATGGGACCTATGTTTCTTTGGGCCTGGCTTACTTCACTTAATATAATTTTTTCCAAGTTTTTCCATTTCCTAACAAATGGGGCAATGTCATTCTTTCTGATGGAGGCATAGAATTCCATTGTGTATATATACCACATTTTCTTGATCCATTCATCTACTGAGGGGCATCTGGGTTGGTTCCATATCTTAGCTATGGTAAATAATGCTGCAATAAACATAGTTGTGCTGGTAGCTTTAGTGTGGTCTTGTTTGTAAACATTTGGGTAAATGCCCAAAAGTGGGATTGCTGGGTCATAGGGGAGTTCAGATGCTGGAGGGGATGTGGACAGAAAGGAACCTTACTTCATTGTTGGTGGGAATGTAAACTTGTTCAACCACTTTGGAAAGCAGTATGGAGGTTCCTCAAAAGACTACACATAGAACTCCCCTATGACCCAGCAATCATTCTATTTCTTGCCACCATGCCTTTGCTTATGAATACTCTGCCTAGCTTGTTATGCCTTTCTTTATCTTTCTTCTACCCCTAAGTCTTTTCCATTTTCCTTTAGGAATAATATGAGAAGTAACTAAAGAATGGTCTTCCAACATAATACCACTTTTCATAGGTACTTTCTCGCCTTGCTTTTGCACTTTCTAATATCATAATTTTATATGATGTTTGTCCTATTAGAGAGTTGAAAGTCTCTTATGTTTGGAATATCAAAGTTTGAAAACACAGTGAGTATTCAATGAAAGTTTTGATGCATGACCAACCTTCAGTTATGAAGTAGTAGTTAGTCATTTTTAAGCTGGGTGCAGCTTTATTTTCTGTATCTTGTCCCTTATGGAAAAGGTAGTCAGGTAGTCATCTTTAAAATCATAAAAAGGTAAACTATTTAAATGA